GTCCTCGTCTGTCCAGTCCTTCTCTGCAAAGGACGACACGAGACGTCTGGGTCTGAGCAGAGTCTCGGCGAACACGTGTTGAGGGAGGCGTCCGTTTCAGGCCCCTGGCACCTCCCAACCTCTGCCACCTGCTCACTGCCCAACTCACTGCCCGCTACCTCCACTCACCTGCCCCCCCTCCTCCCCCCCGCACCGTCCCCCCCTTGCTTGCCCTGATCCGCCACTGGCAAGCAAGGGCTCTTGGGGGTGCAATTTACCCTGCGTTGGGGGGTGGGGGTGGGTTGTGGGGGAGGGAGGGGGGGAAAGCTGTGCGAGGGAGCAGATAAGAGAACGGTACCTGGCTTGTTGAGAAGACAGCGGAGTTCGTATTCCACGTCAGCCTGACGCTCCTCCAGGTTCTGCTGCTTGAAGCTGGAAAAAGCCGCAGACGGGGATTGGGACGTGGGTTAGTCTGTCTGGGCTCAGTGCCTCTTGTGGCAGAAATATGGGGGTTGGGGGGGGGGGGTTTCATCCCATGCTCTCGTGCAGTGTTGGGGGAAACGCTGCGTCGACCGGAGGTGCCATCCTTCGGATGAGACGCTAAACAGTGACGTGTCTGGCAACGGAATGTCGGAATCGAGCCCTCTGTGTCCGTCTCTCTCTCGCCAGTTGTCTGTGTCCGTCTCTCGCTTTCTCTCTCTCTCTCTCTCTCGAGCCAGTCCTCTGTGTCCGTCTCTCTCTCTCTCTCGCCAGCCCACTGTGTCCGTCTCTCTCTCTCTCTCTCTCTCTCTCGAGCCAGTCCTCTGTGTCCGTCTCTCTCTCTCTCTCTCTCTCTCTCTCTCGCCAGCCCTCTGTGTCCATCTCTCTCTCTCTCTCTCTCTCGCCAGCCCTCTGTGTCCATCTCTCTCTCTCTCTCTCTCTCTCTCGCCAGCCCTCTGTGTCTATCTCTCTCTCTCTCTCTCTCTCTCAAGCCAGCCCTCTGGACGTCGGTAGGACCTGGAATGGCCAACCAGTCACTGGGGGCAGGGAGTCCTCCCCCTCGGCTCCTGTTAACCTCGCAGCCAAAGCCCTAACGGGGAGGGTGGTCCGGGCTGGACAAGCAGCGGGAAAGCTTACCGGGGAGTGTGTACAGGTGATTCCCTGGGAACTGTATACAGGTGGAGCATTGATTAGACTGGTTCGAGCCCTCTAAAGTGGAGTGACTGCATATTTTGTGGGCGAAACACGGCAGCCAATTGCGCCCCCACAGACGTCCCCACAAACATTCGTGGATTGAGTGACCGAATTATTATTATTATTAATTTTTTCGAGGGGTCATTACCCCCGGAAAGCGATCCGCCAATCGACTAACGACTGGGTTCCTGCTTACTATTGCGGGCGAACCGCGGCAGACAATTGCGCACAGCGACGTCTCCACAAAAGTCGTGCGATTGAGGGACCCATTTCTTCTTATTTTATTATGTTTTTGGAGGGGTTATGACCCCCGGAAAAGCGATCCGCCAATCGACTAAACGAGCGGGTTCCTGCGCGTGTGTGTGTGTGTGTGTACATGTGTGTGTGGGGGGGGTGGTGTGTGGGGGGAGTAAGGAAACTTGCCCAACGTTTCGTCCTGCCCGGTAATCGAACCCAGATCTCTCGCTCGCGAGGTGAGGGGTCTAACCCCTGAGTTACAGGACTCTAACATGCTTTACCTTTATTATCCCTTTATTATGACTATTGCCCCCCCCTCTATCTCCACCATCGACAGCCATGGTTTCACCCACTACAACAGCAATAAATTACATTTGTATAGCGCCTTTCATGTCATCTACCCACCAAAGCTGTGGAACTCTCTCCCTCAGTCCCTTCCCCTCACCCTCTCTCTCTCTCTCCCTATTTTCAGGTCGAGTTTGAAGACCTTCCTCATCGACTGTGCCGACGGTCACCTTCCCCCCTCCCCCTTGGCTCGGCCTCTGGCTCCGCCACTGTTAATCCGTCCGAGACATTGTCTCATTGGCGTGAAGGGCGCGGTGTCAATGCAAGTTATTTTTGTTGTTATTAATAATAATCCTTACGTGACTAAGGGCAGGGCCAAACCTTTGGCAAGTTTCTTTGCTCCACACACACACACACACACCTGTTTACCAGCAGTCAGTAGGAACCCGCTCGTTAGTGGATTGGCGGATCGCTTTTCCGGGGGTCTTATCCCCTCCAAAAACATAATAAAATAAGAAGAAATGGGTCCCTCAATCGCACGACTGTTTGTGGTGACGTCGCTGCGCGTAATTGTCTGCCGCGGTTTGCCCGCAAAAACCGCCCGGTCGCTCCAGTTTGCCGTGAGGCGCTTTGAGACGCGATAAGGCGCTGAGCCGCAGGCAAGGATTATCTACGCTGACGGGACTCACGTGTAAACTAGCTCCAGCTCCCGGCGCACCAGGATGTGTTTCTCGTGGATGAGCTTGAACCAGTCAGTGAGCAAGTCGTCCTCTTCGTCAGCTGTCAATCACAAACACCCCCCCCAACACTGCACGAGAGCATGGGATGAAACCCCCCCCCCCCAACCCCCATATTTCTGCCACAAGAGGCACTGAGCCAGACAGACTAACCCACGTCCCAATCCCCGTCTGCGGCTTTTTCCAGCTTCAAGCAGCAGAACCTGGAGGAGCGTCAGGCTGACGTGGAATACGAACTCCGCTGTCTTCTCAACAAGCCAGGTACCGTTCTCTTATCTGCTCCCTCGCACAGCTTTCCCCCCCTCCCTCCCCCACACACCCCACCCCCACCCCCCAACGCAGGGTAAATTGCACCCCCAAGAGCCCTTGCTTGCCAGTGGCGGATCAGGGCAAGCAAGGGGGGGACGGTGCGGGGGGGAGGAGGGGGGCACGTGAGTGGAGGTAGCGGGCAGTGAGTTGGGCAGTGAGCAGGTGGGAGAGGTTGGGAGGTGCCAGGGGCCTGAAACGGACGCCTCCCTCAACACGGACAGTGTTCGCCGAGACTCTGCTCAGACCCAGACGTCTCGTGTCGTCCTTTGCAGAGAAGGACTGGACAGACGAGGACCGAGCTCGTGACGCGGAGCTGATGCAGGAGCTGATCACGGTCATCGAGCAGAGGAACGCCATCATCAACAGCCTGGACGAGGACAAGCAAAGGTACAGCCAACGGCCCTCCGCTTCGTGTGCGTGTGTTTGCGGAGTAAGGAAACTCACCCAACGTTTCGCCCAGATCTGACCCGCCCGGGAATCGAACCCGGGTCCTCTCGCTTGCCAGACGAGCGCTCTAACCAGTCCGTGGGCTTGCCGGCGCATCGCTGCGCGCAAATGGGCTGCCGCATTTGCCTGTAAAATACACAGTCACCAACCTCACTTTTAACGAGGGGTCTCAAAGCGCTTCACAGGGCAACAACAACAAAATTCCATTTATAGAGCGCTTTTCACGTCGGGAGGACATCCCAAGGTGCTGGACAGTTGGGTTGGGACCTGAGCCTTGGGGGAAATGGTCAGGGTGAGGGGAGGGAAGGGAGGGAGCGAGGAGGGGGGAAATGGTCAGGGTGAGGAGAGGGAGGAGGGGGTAGAGAGTCGAGAGGAGAGCTGAAGGCACGGTTGAAGAGAAAGCTCTTGAGACCGGCCTTGAAGGAGGAAAGGGAGGAAGCGGCAAAGGCACTGGGGATGGAGTTCCAGAGCCTCGGGGCTGAGAGGCTGAAGGCCACCGATGGTAGAGCGGTTGGGGCGGGGGATGTGGAGCAGACCGGAGCCAGAGGAACGGAGGGTACGGGGGGTACGTGGGGGGATAGTAGGTCAGAGAGGTAGGAGGGAGCGAGGCCGTGAATGGCCTTGTAGGTGAGGATGAGGATCTTGAATTCGATCCTCTGGGGGATGGGGAGCAGTGGAGGCGAGCGAGGGCGAGGGTGAGGGTGGGAGTGAGGGCGAGGGTGGGAGCGAGGGCGAGGGTGAGGGCGAGAGCGAGGGCGAGGGTGAGGGTGGGAGTGAGGGTGGGAGTGATGTGTCTCGGTGTCTGGTGGGGGACAGTACAGGAGCTGCAGAGTTCTGGATGACCTGCAGTGTGGAGGGAGGGCCGGGAAGGCCGACGAGGAGAGAGTTCCCATAGCCTTGAGCTGATAAAGGTGTGGACCAGAGTTTCAGCCGCGTGAGGGGTGAGGGAGTGGCGACATTTCGGAAGTGATGGAAGGCGGTGCCGGTTGTGGTGCGGATATGAGGGAGAAAGGACAGCTCAGGGTCGAGGGGAACCCCGAGGTTCCTGATGGCTTTGAGAGGTGGAGAGTGCGGAGCTGATGGTGTCAGCGCCTGAGGTGCGGAGGCGCTGACGTGAGCCAATCAGGAGGGCCTCAGTGTGGCGCACGTTGAGCTGAAGAAAGTTGTCTCTCGTCCCGGACTCGATGTCGGACAGACAGCTGTCAGGACATCGGGGGTCGTGGAGTTGAGGGTAGAGGAGGAAAGGTAGAGTTGGGTGTCATCCGCATACATGTGGGAGTGAACCCCATGTCTGCAGATGATGTCACCACAGGGGGAGCATATAGAGGGTGAAGAGGAGGGGACCGAGGACGGAGCCCTGAGGGACACCGCACGAGACAGTGCGGGGGGTGGAGGGAAAGGTTCGACCTAAACCACTCAAGGACAGTGCCTTGAAGGTTGAGGTGGGAGGACAAGCGGTGGAGGAGGATAGTGTGGTCGACCGTATCGAATGCTGCCGATAGGTCGAGGAGGACGAGGAGGCAGAGGGAGCCCTGGTCACAGATGGTCAGGATGGCATTGGTGACCTTGACCAGGGCAGTGTCTGTGCTATGGGCAGCACCGAAACCCGACTGAAGGGGTTCCAATAATGAATGGGTGGAGAGGAAAGAGCGCCGCTGGGAGGCGACGACAGGACACACTGTAGAGTGGAGTGTGGGCCAAACCACTGTTATTCTGATGGCGTGCGGAGGGGGTGCGGGAACAGGGGCAGTAAACACGCTGAACTGTGTTGCAGGGAGGAAGAGGAAGATAAGATGTTGGAGACCATGATCAAAAACAAAGGTAAGGAACGAGAGGCGTGCGTGAGAGAGACTGTAACTAACGGTGAACGCAGGAGATGGATTCAGCATCAGCCCAGCGCTCTCACAGCAGCTTTACCTGGGCATGGCTGACTAGGGCGGGGCAGAGGGGCGTTCTGAGAGACGGACGGGGCTGGATTGAAGGGTCTCGACCCTCCATGGGGAAGGGAGGGGGGGGGGTCAGAGTCGTGATCGAGGCTGGATCGAGTGTTGAACAACAACAACTTGCATTTGCACACAGGTAGTGGGTTGGGGAGACAAGGCTGGGGCATAGAGGGAGGTGGGGTGGGGGGCAGAGATGAACCGGGATTGGGGTCCGTGGGTATGTCTGCCCCACACACCCCCAGTGCTGGTCTCTGATTGCTGGGAAAGCTTTCAGCCACTGCGCCCCAAAACTCTTTGTCACTCTCTCCCCCAATCCCTCCGCCTTGTCCCCTTCCTCCCCTCCCTCCCCACCTTCAAATCCCACCTAAACACCTTCCGTTGGGATCGTGCTTATGGCCACCTCCCCCACTCCCTTTCCCCCCCCCCCCCCCCACCCCCCCGGCTCGGGATCAGTCTCCCCTACTGTCAAGTGCTCCTGAACGGCTCTGTTGTTGTCGTGGTGGTGGTGGTTGTTGTCGGGTTCCCGGAGGGTCACTGACACTCTCTCTCTCTCTCTCTCTCTCTCTCTCTCTCGTGCGGTTAGAATTCCACCGAGACCCCAACAGCGACGTCAAGAAAAAAACCAAATTCAAAGGCATAAAAATGCTCAAGTTTCTCAGCAACAAACCTGACAGCAAACACAAAGCTGAGAAGGAGAAGAGCTCGTGAGGGGTTCGAGACGGGAGCTGGGGCGGGGGGGGGGAGGGGCGGGGGGGGGTGGGGACGGGGAGAGTGATGGGGTAGATGGTCCTTTCTGCACCTTGACTCCCCCCTCCCCCCCCATTATCGTTCCTCCGCAACACAACACAGCCAAGTGTTGTCTGCTCCACGAGAGGACATGAAAGGCAGCACTGATTCTGAGGCCGAGCTGATCAAATACGTGGGCGGGGCGGGGCGGGTGTTGGGGGTGGGGGTTGTTAATTGCGGTCGCTTACTCTTATACCCCTCACCCCCTCAGGGGGTCTTCAACTGGTCGGTCCAACGCGGTCAAGTGACCCCTTAACGTGCGCTCGATTAATAACACGAGGCCAGAGCGATATTTAGGGCAATTGAGGCGTTTCCAAAGTTCAATCTTTTTCTCTCCAGACGCACGGAATAGTTTGTGCGTCCGGCTTCGCTCTCCATCCGACCCAAATCTATCGCTCCTCCTCCCTCTAGTCTCTTCGGCCTGGTTACCCTGCAAATCCAAAGCCCTAACTAACTAACTAACTAACTAACTAACGGGGAGGGGGGTCCTGGCTGGACAAGCAGCGGGACAGCTTGGCCAGACAGCGCTCGCTCTCTCTCTCTCTCTCTCTCTCGCTCAATGGCCAAGCTATGTGTGGGTTTAGCTGGTTAAGACTCCAGCAGTTACCCCCCAACACACACACTCTGGGCTCCCCCACCCGCCAACCTGTGCCTAAAACTCTCCTGAATTAGGTGAACAGGGTGAGTCCTTCCAGCGAGAGAGAGAGAGAGAGCGCATTCCATTCCAACCATCCATCTCTGGGGTTTCCGGGTGTGGGGGGGATGTGGGGAATTCTCAGTCGGGTTTGGAGACTCTTAAGCCACGATGACGGGTTTCCGTGTGTGTCAGACACCCGACTGGTCACGGTGACGGGTTTCCGTGTGTCAGACACCCGACTGGTCACGGTGATGGATTTCCGTGTGTGACAGACACCCGACTGGTCACGGTGACGGATTTCCGTGTGTGACAGACACCCGACTGGTCACGGTGACGGGTTTCCGTGTGTGTCAGACACCCGGCCGGTCACGGTGACGGGTTTCCGTGCGTGTCAGACACCCGGCTGGTCACGGTGACGGGTTTCCGTGTGTGTCAGACACCCGGCTGGTCACGGTGACGGGTTTCCGTGTGTGACAGACACCCGGCTGGTCACGGTGACGGGTTTCCGTGTGTGACAGACACTCGGCTGGTCACGGTGACCGGTTTCCGTGTGTAGACATCCAACTGACCCCCAAAAAATGTGCAACAACGTCATCTAGTGGCGACTGACTGACTGACTGACTGACACCTCTGCCTTATTCTGTATGCAATATGTCGGCTGGACTTTGCAGTTGGCTCCCAATTTTACTTAAGTTTTAATTTTATTGTGAGTTTTTTTGACCCGACTATTAATTTTTCTTTCTTAATTTCCTCCCCCATTGGCCCGTGCCCCTCTCTCTCTCTCTCTCTCCTCTCTCTCTGGCTCCTGGGCTGGCCTCTCGGCCCGGCTCGGGTTTCTACGGGAGGTGTTTGCCCTCCCTTGCCCACCACCGCCCCACATTGTTCGCGGGTGAGGTGTTGGCAGTGAGTGTCAGTGGTGGCACTTGCCTGTAGGGGCGTCACAGCTAAGCCTGACCTCCCCACCCGACTGCTACACACACACCATCCGTACACACTTACATACGCGCATACACACCACACACACGTACATATATTCACATACACACACACATACACAGCAGATACCTTCACACACAAACCATCCACACACACACATACACACTACATACACACACATACATACATACATTCACCTACACACACACATACATACCACAAACACACACACGCTCACATACAGGGTGATTAAGAAGTCGTCATAACTACTCTTATCTAAAAAACATCATTTCTTTAAGGCTTTTTAGGCATTGTAATGGTATCACAACTTTTTGGTCACCCTGTATACACACACACACACACACTCTGTCCCGGGATCAGGAAACCCGACTGACTTCCCTCTCCCTCACCCCGGGAAACCTGAGTCCAATTTAGCATCCCCTGACCGTACAGCACGGAAACAGTTCACTCAGTCCAACACAGTCCATGCTGGTGTTTATACTCCGTACGAGTCTCTCACCCCCATCTCCCTCTCCCTCCCAAACCCCTCTGTTGCTCTACAATATTCCCTCCCCATCAAGCATCAAACACTATATTTTTGGGAGTCTTTTTGTAAAAGAAAATCTTATTTTTTAATTGTTTTACCCAGTTACTCTCTTTACTGTTGGAGCCGTGCGTTCAAAACAGCCAAACTGAGCAAGTCCTTGGGTACGTGCGGAGACTCTTTAAGTCCTGCACGTGTCCCTTGACGTGAATGATGAGAGAGAGGCTTCGTTAAAGGCCCAATTTTTATGCAATTTTTATTCCTCGTGTGAATGTGTCGGTGTGATTGAGTTGGTCACACACTCCCATGGTGGTGGGTTTGTTCCTGCTGCTTTCTTAGGTGTCGGCCTGGCTCAGTTGGTAGCGCTCTCTCTCTCCTCTGAGACAGAAGGTCCAAGGTTCAAGCCCACCCTACCTTCTTCGGGCGACTTTGAATGCCTATAGTCAAGACTGATGCTCCAGTACTGTGCTGCATTGTCAGAGGTGCCGTCCTTCGGGTGAGATGCTGATCTGAGCAGATTGTCGGCCCGGACACTGGAGAAAGTCCCTGCACTCAGCGAATAGCACCGTGGGGATCTTTAACGTCCGCCTGAACAGAGCAAAGGCGGAGAGTGAGGTTTAACGGCTCATCCCAAGGACAGCGTCTCTGACAATGCAACACCCCCCCACCACCCCCCACCCCAGCGCTGCACTGGAGCCTCAGCTTAGACTCGACCTAAAAAAAAAACCTTGGGTTCCGACTTGAGGGGCATGAACCCACGACCGGCTGACTCAAAAGAGGCGAGAGAGAGCGCGCTACCGCTGAGCCAGGCCGACACACAGCTTTGAAACTGTTTTGACGTGATGAGAAGCAATATGAGCAGCAAGTTTTATTATTATTGTTGTTGCTGTATTTTTACTCTTGAACTAATCTGTAGGTTTTGTTAAGGATGAAATGGGGGGCGGGTGGGGGGTGTACAGTGGGCATTCTGAAAGCTGACATCTTTGTATTAACGTAGCTGGGAGAGGGGCTGCTGAGCTCCCTCCGACCTTAAGGATCCTCCTCTGACTTTATGTAATTGCTAATGGCTGATCCCACCATCACACACACACACACACACACACACCTCTCCTGTTCGAGGTTCCGCAAGTGTCGGACTCTCACCAAAAAAAACAACCACCTTCTCAAGCGGTCTCCGTTCCGTGCGTCAGCCCTTCCAAAGGCAGTGGACAAGCACGGACCTGACCGCCTCTCACACGCGTTTGACGAGGCGGAGGACACGTGTGTACGTACAAAAGCACGCGTGTGTGTGTGTGTGCGCGCGTGCGTCAAGGCGAGGCGTGGCGCAGTCTCCCGCGCGCTCTCCTTGACTGACGAATTTCGCTGTTAAAGGTTCGCGGAAACGCTGCCCTCGTGGGCCGACTGCGTTCTGTTGGTTTTTGCACTTTAAGTGGTGGTTAAACGCGTCCGATTGCGAACACGAGGCTCCCAGAGAAACCGGCTTTATCCTCCAGGACAAACGATCAGAGCTTCGCACCTGTTAGAAACTCTGGTCCGACTCGTATTGCAGTTCGCGGCAGTGGTTGTGTTGCTCATGAGGAGAGGGGGGAAATATCAGACAGGTCATCGAACATAGTTGACGTGGAGTAGGGTGGGGGAGAGGGGGGTCCTTCAGGCTCTCTGCCCCCATCACACAGTCTTGCCCCCTCCTTCAAGGCCCGTATCAAGATCCCCACTTTGGCCGCCCTCCAACCCCTACTCCCCCAACCCTCAGCTCGGGTCCAAATCCCTGACCGTCCAAAGCCTTGGGACATCCACGACTTGAAAATGCAACGTCTTGTTGGGTAATGTCTCCCGAGTTCCTTTTTTTAAAAAAATTGCATATCCACTGATATGAACAGGGACCGCGTTCCAACGTACAAGTCGTAAATGGCAAATAAAGGGTTGGGGGTGTGGGGGGTTCTGTGTCGATGAGATTTTTTTCTAAGTCGGTAGAGAGGTAATATTTGTACAGACAGTGGCGAGAAAGCCCAAATAAGCCTTAATTCAATTTATTGTCAAAAACCTTTCCACCGCCGCCCGGCCGTTCTCTTGTGAAATCTTCAGCGTCGTGGCGCGGCAGATGTGTTTAATGAGTCGTTTTATTTACCGAGTTGCTCTGGGAGTGGGTTAGAGGGGAGAGGTCAGAGCTTTGCAATTTCTGCTGCTTGTTCCAAGTGTTCGATTGGAAGATGTTACCGGTGATTTTTTTTTTGGGGGGGGGGGGTGGGGGGAAATACCTTTTTTTAACTGTTACTCTCTTTGCCTTATATCCGTTTGTATATAATATTTATTGAAACACAGAAGCACTGCTCTCTGACAAAGCTATATTATTCTACTAACCGAAACGGGAAAACTGGGAAAAATAAAATGGAGAACTGTCAAAAAAAAAAAGGTGCGTATGTCGTGTCTCTCCTTCTTTCTGGGAGAGGAGAGTCTCCTCCCAGAGACGTGGAACCCCTCGATCCAGAAGTCCAGCGCTGTCAGCCTTCAGCTGCGACGGTGGGGATGGGGTGGGATTGTTTGGTGCGTTCTTTTGACTCGAACTAACGACATTTACACCGCAGCGCCTTTCCTGTCGGGAGGACGTCCCAAGTCGTTGGACAGAGTACAGCATCTCAGATAATCGGGGGATCTGCACCCGAGTTGGTGGTTGGGATCAGGAGAGGGTGTGAAAGTACTTGTTTTTTTTTCCCAATTGGAGACGTAAAAGTGGGTGTTTTTTGGGGTTTTTTTTTTCCCCCCAAACTCGGGACCCAAGTTCTTTTTTCGACAATCAAACCGCACGAGAGAGAGAGAGAGAGAGAGAGAGGGGTAGAGTGTTAAAGATATTCTTTTTATTTTACATTTATCCTTTCTGTCAGATGCCGTGTTTAAATCGTCATAAAAAGTTATATTACACCCGTTAAGAGTCAGCTCCCGGTGAGTCAGCGAGTGAGGTGCGTGTGGGGGGGGGAATGAGGAGGGAGGGGGAAGTTTCGGGGGGGGGGGGGGGGGGGGTGAAAAACAGCAGCAAATTGGGAGCCACTCACCGAATCCCGGGAACGTTGGCTTCTCCAGCGATTTTCCCCATTGCCATCTTCAGTGGCCTTAATGGCGACTCTGCCCCTCTCTACCCCCACTGTGACAGCCGGCAGAGAAGCGAGTCACGTCTGAAGCAACCGATGAACCCCCCCAAAACCCCCACTGGGCTGCCTCCATCTCTCTCTTACCCTCTCTTCCCCCCCCCCCCCCCCCCAACCCCCAACACACACACACTCTTAACTCCTCACTCACCTCTTAAAGAGCAGCAATAGCTCACACACGATCTCTGGGAGTGCGGAGGTGGGGGCAATGGGGTATAGGGGATACTTGTGACCGTGGCAAATGTCCCCCCCCCCCCCGAGGGGGAAACTAGACACACGGTCTGTGGTGAGCAGTGAGCTGTTCTGCTCCTGCATTGCCCCCAGAGAGACGGAGACCTTACACCTCCTGTGGGGAGACCAGAGCTGCCGAGGGAAAGGGGTTGGGAGGGGGGGTATGTGGGGGGGAAACAGAGACCAGACCGGCTTCATCCTGGTCACCACCATCAGCTCAGTCTGTACAGCCCTGTGACACACACACATATACACACACACACACAGGCTCCCCACAGCCCTGTGTTGTGCACACACGCACACCCTTGTGGTACACACGCCAGTCACAGCCCTGTGTTGCACGCACACGCACACACACACACAGAGCCACACCAACACAACCACCGCATCACCGCCCCAGATGGGGCTCGTGTCCTGCCCTGGCCGAAGCAGGCCCCAAATTCCGCCTCGCCTTAGCCCACGGCACCAATTCTGGCTCAACATTTAAGCACTGTGAGGGTGGAAAACTCTTCAAAAACTCAAGCCCGGCTGGGAAGCCGCGGTGATTCAAACACGTCATGGAGGAAGAAATAGGAACATACCCTGAGCTCAGACCCAGACCCTCCGCTTCGCCAACTACTGCGCTCAGCTCTCTGCATCTTCTCTCTCTGCCCATCACACCTCTCTCTTTCCCTTTCACCCAAAGCTAAAGCTCACACTCACAGGGCTCCAACTCAGCAGAACAACTCAAGCCTTCACCCACCCAACCCACCCACCCCCCCACCCTCCTCTGATCTCCCTCAGAGACTGCTCAAAGCCAAGTGTTGACACACCAAATAAATAATAGCTTGTCCCAGAGAGAGACGCACACCATTTTGTATTAAGAATCCACTATTGGACCGCGTGTGAGGCCAGAGATGTTTCCTCAACGCGTTTGCGTAAGCGATCCTCCTTCGCAGAGCGCGTCAGAACCAAACAAGATGGTCATCCAATCTGCCTTTGATTTTAAAATAGCCCCAAGTCACCTCCAACATATCTGAGAGCATCCCAGGTTGGTGGGGGGGGGGGGGGGGGGGGGAAGGAAGTTACTGTTATTAATAATACTACTGCTACATAGCTCATCACCACGATGTTGGGGGTAACTGCTGGAGTCTCACCAGCTAAATAGCACAATAGCTTGGCCATTGATATCGCTGCGTGTCCAGCTACGACCACCCTCCCCGTTAAGTCAGTTAGGGCTTTGGCTGTGGGGTTAACAGGAGCTGAGGGGGAGGATTCTCTGCCCCCAGTGACTGGTCGGCCCTTCCAGGTCCTGCCGATGGGCCGGGCCGGGCTGAGCTGCCATCAGCAGTGAGTGCCCTGGGACACTGCGGACTGGCCGGGGCTCAGGAACTGGTCTAACGAGATTATACAGAGGGCTGCTTGATTCCGACCCTTTGCCTAACGTATCACCTTGGAGCCAGTTCAGCTGTGAGGAGACCCCATTTACCTCCCTCCTCCTCTCCCTCCCCCAGAAGGATTTAACAGGACATCAATTCCCAGGAACCCCGCTCCGGAAACAGGTGGACCAGTTGGCAGTCGCGCTTCTGTTTCCCGCCATCTCCTTCCCTGTTCGTACAACTCAGAAGGAATCCTGGTAAGGAACGCCGCAAACCAGAACACCCGTTGGCTTTCACTGGCTCAAAGGAGACGTGTAAGCCCTCCTCCCCCCACCCATCGCAAGCGAGAGAACTAAAGTGCAGGTTCAGTCGCAAGATGTATCTTATATATATATCTTATATATAAGATGTCACTGTGCTCTGCAGCGGAGAGAGGGAGAGTAGCAAGGTGGCCGTCACAGCCAAGAGCAATCCTGCCCTTGTGACGCCTACATGTCCTCAGGGCAAGGGGAAAGGAGGAAAGGGGGGTGTGTAGAGTAGCAGGAAACCTGGCGAGATACTGAGACACACCACTCTCAGTGCCCCAGTCTGGCTGAATGCAGAGCGAAGGAGGAACCTGGGGCCTTGTCACCATCTCGCGAGCCTCTTTGTATCAGTGAGCTTCACCGACGCGCTCGAGACAGTTACAGAACCCGTGATGCTCAAGTGACCCTTGTTTACACGTCAGCCCATGTTACGTCAAAGCTACCGGTGGAGAGGGCAGGGGAGGAGGTGCGTTAGTGGCAGCAAACCCGCACACACACACACACACGCACACACACACACACACAGAGGTCTGACGTTAAATAGAAACTCTTCACATTAGAGTGTGCACTCACACACACACACACACGCGTACACACACACAAACACCTCAAAGTATTTCACATTCTTTCTCATTCGAGCACTGTTCCATCGTGCTCTCTGTCCTGTCTCCCTGCCTCCCCCCCTCTCTCTCTCTCTCTCTCTCTGTGTGTTAAATCACAGTGATTCTGTGAAGGAGAACTGGTCAGACCACAGACCTTGGGGCATCTAGTTCAGAAGGAGATGACGGGGGTGAGTGGGGTGGGGGAGAATATAAAGAGAGGAAGGGGGAAAGGAGGGTGAGACTGGAGATGATGTGAGTGGAGCGGAGAGACTGGCAGGTAAGAACATTCTATTCCTTCGGAAGTGACAAGAGCAGGTGAGTATTGAGTGTGTGTGGGGTGGGGGGGTGGGGTAGGGGTGGGTGAGAGGGTGAGGGAGGAGAGAGCTCCTTTTCTCATGGGTGGAGGGTGCCCCACATTCCCCCTTCATGGCAGAGAGGGGAGGTGGGGGTGACAACGCCGAGAGTGCAGTATCTCATGAACACAGTTGGCTTAGATTGAGGCCCGCTCCCACCTTTCTCCCCACCTGCCTCCCCTCCTCCCTCCCCCAAAGCACACGAGGGCAGCAGCTCGTCGAAATCACCGATGAGGGCTACTTGGAATCATTGGTTTGGTTGGAGTGTCACTCATGGTGGCGGGGGTCAACGGGTTTCATTCTTTCCACTAAGAAAATAATTCTATGGGGTGGGGGAACGGGGTCTTGGGGGCGCAGGGGGTAGGGGAGGAGCAGGGATGGAGGAAAAGGGGGTGGGAGGGGGTGCCCAAAGCTCATCTGTGGTTCAGATTGTTCTGCGGGATGGGCGGGCTGTTGAGCAGAATGTCCGTCAAGTCCCTCATGATGGCCGTCTCCTTGGGGTCGATGAGGCTGAACTGCCGGACGAAGGTGAGGAAGTGGGCGTACAAGGTGTTGAGGTGCGGGTAGAGTTCGAGGGCAACCACCTCCTTGAAGTGGGCGCAGTAGATGTGAGCCAGGACGTGGAACAGGAAGCGGCTGATCTTCTGAACCAGCGTGTCGAAGGAGCTCGGAAATGCCTTTCCTGTTGATGAAGAAAGGAAGCAAAATTATTATTTTTTCTTGACGAGAGCTTTCTCTCACCAAAACATCTCAAACCGCTTCACAGCAATAATAATAATATAATAAGCACTTCATCTTCAAGCACTTCAGAGAATATAACAATAATAATCCTTTTATTTGATTATTATTATTATTGATTATAGCGCCTTATCACATCAGTGATAAGTCTCAAAGCGCTTCACAGAATGTACTGTAAAGTGAATTGACTGTACAGTTTCTGGCAGAAACGCGGCAGCAATGGCACACAGCAGCGTCCCCACAAACAGCCGTGGATTGAGCGACCAAGTGATTATTACTTTAATAATATTATTACTCACCATATTTAGTGGGGAAGATTTCCTCGTCGGTCAACAGTTTCTGGATGTGCGTCATCACCAGGTCGATGTACTGTGGGGCGGTGCACTTAATCTTCTTCCCTCGCTCGTCCGTCCAGAAGTACTGACTGTTCAAACAAGACACAGACGGCAGGAGGGAATTAACACATGGAACAGAGAGCACTCACACACACGGAGGGGGAAAAAGGACAGGAGTACACACCAGGGAAGGATGAAGTGCTCCAAGACACTCCACTATACAAAGGGGCAACGTATAAAAGTGGTCGATGTTTGGGCTTGATTGCTCACTGGGTAAATCCACCCGGTAAGGCATCATCCTCCCTCCTTCCTTAACAAATAATAAGAGTATTCCTTGCATTTGACCAAGCGCCTTATCACGTCTTCGAGACGTCTCAAAGGGCTTCACAGGATGCACTGTATAGTGTAGTGGGCGAAACTCGGCAGCCAATTGCGCACAGCAGTTTCCCCACAACAGTCGTGGTTTGAAGTGACCAAATTATTATTATAATTATTAATTTTTTTCAAGGGATTATTACCCCCGGAAAATGAACCGCCGATCGACTAACAACCGGGTTCCTACTTACTGCTGGTTAAACAGAGGCGTGTGCGTGGAGCAAACTGGTCCTTGGCAGCCGGAAGGCTGCTCCCCCCACCCCACCCACTCCCCCCCGGGGTAAAGTAAGGGTAGAGTGCTCACGTGTTACACGCAGTCATCACGGGACATGTCTCCGCCGTGCAGAACTCTGAGATGGCGCTGTACTGCAGGTTTATGTGGTTGAAGAACGTCATTGCTGTCGAAACAAACAAACAACCCCAAAAAATAACCAACACTTTCTCAGATTCGCTCCAAACTGCAAGAGAGCCTCTTGGTACAGCAAGCTCCCTCTCAATGACCTGAAAGACAACCTATGGGTGAGACTTGTGCCCCCTAGCTCCTGTCTGCCTGATTCAGACGGACTTTCAGGTGTCTGTGGTGCCATCGCCATTTCCTCAAAGGGACGCCTGTCTCGAAGCGCTTCACAGAATATACTGCGAAGCGGAGTGACTGTATTTTGTGGGTGAAAATCAGCAGCCAATTGCACACAGCAGCGTCCCGCAAACAGTCGTGGATTGAGTCACCAAATTATTTTTATGAAGGGATTGTTACCTCCGGAAAGCGATCGTCCAATTGACTTAACAACCAGGTTCCTACTTACTGCCAAGTAAACAGAGGCATTGCGTGAGCAAGGAAACTTGCCTAATGTTTTACTCTGCCCAGGAATTGAACCTGGGTCCTCTCGCTTGCGAGGTGAGTGCTCTATCCACTTCGCTACTGGACTCCAAGTCTACCTAAGCTTCCTATCATAGATATTAATCATCCATGGACATTCTCTTGAGACTGCACAGGGGTCTACTGAGCAACTGTCCACTCCCAAAATGGGTTTTCAAGAGGCAAAGCTATGGCAGGATTTAGTTAGTCAGACCATATCGCTCACGAGAATGTTAATTGAAATTATAATAATAATAATAATCTTTGCATTTGATATAGCGCTTTTCACGTCGGGAGGACGTCCCAAAGCGCTTCACAGAACACACTGTAAAGTGAATTGACTGTATATTTGTGGGCGAACGCGGCAGCCAATTGCGCACAGCAATGTCCCACAAACAGTCGTGGATTGAAAATGACCAATTTATTATTGTTTTTGGTTTTGAAGGGATTATTATTAGGCTCTGTGTGGAGTAAGGAAACTTGCCCGAGGTTTCGCCCTCTGCCTGGAATTGAACTCAGGTCTCTCACTTGCAAAGCGAGTGCTCTAACCACTGAGCTACAGGACTCCACGTCCTGTTACATCTGCCCGTGGTGAAGGAGGTAAATAGACAAGTCTTTATGGAGTGTAACAGCAATGACTTATGGTGGGCAGAATGGGGAATCAATACACCCACGATAAAAACAAACTGCACTTGGACAGATTGACTGTGGTATGGACAGCAGCCAGCCGGGCAGCTCACAGGAGCGAGGTTGGCTGGTCTTTGCTCCGTCGGCGAACGTGCTTTGTCACTCACGTTATACACCAAACTGATTGATTTTCTGGGGATCAGCCGGGTGTCTGACGCACACGGAAACCCATCACCGTAAGAGATAGATTGTTGGAATGGAAAGCGCACCCTCTCTCTCTCCCTGGAGGGATGTCTCCTGCTTACCTAATGCCAGAGAACATTAGGAGGATACTGGGAAGGTTACTCCCTCCTGTTGGAGGACGAGCTATTGGGAAGGTTACACACTCCTGTTGGAGGAGCTATTGGGAAGGTTACTCCCTGTTGGAGGAGGAGCTATTGGGAAGGTTACTCCCTGTTGGAGGAGGAGCTATTGGGAAGGTTACTCCCTGTTGGAGGAGGAGCTATTGGGAAGGTTACTCCCTGTTGGAGGAGGAGCTATTGGGAAGGTTACTCTCTGTTGGAGGAGGAGCTATTGGGAAGGTTACTCTCTGTTAGAGGTGGAGCTATTGGGAAGGTTACTCCCTGTTGGAGGAGGAGCTATTGGGAATGTTACTCACTGTTGGGAGGAGGAGCTATTGGGAAGGTTACTCACTGTTGGGAGGAGGAGCTATTGGGAAGGTTACTCACTGTTGGAGGAGGAGCTATTGGGAATGTTATTCACTGTTGGAGGAGGAGCTATTGGGAAGGTTACTCACTGTTGGAGGAGGAATTATTGGGAAGGTTACTCACTGTTGGAGGAGGAGCTACTGGGAAGGTTACTCACTGTTGGAGGAGGAGCTATTGGGAATGTCACTCACTGTTGTTGGCGAGCCATTCGTTCTGGTCGATCTCGCTGGGCAGTGCCACGAGCAGCGGCAGGTCCACATCGGAGACACGTGCTGCCGTATACTCCACCTCCATGTACAGCTTCTTCTCCTCCGGGCACGGAGGCTTCTCGTCCAGCTTTGATTTGGCAGTCTTCCTGAGAGAAAAACAAAACCCGGCACCGGGTGGGGAGGGAGGGAGAGTGGGGGGGGGGGAGAGAGAGAGAGAGGCCTGTAATTCATAGCACCAAACGAGGCTATTCAGCAGATCATACCTGTGATAGCGCTCCATTCAATAGCGTGTACTTATATATGAACTATATATGATTGAGGGGAGAAGCCTCTTCCTCTATCCCTCCGCCTTGCCCCACCCTTCCCCATCTTCAGGTCGTGCCCCCCTCTGCCTCCCCTCGGCTCTGCCCCCTTCTGCCCCGACACTGTCAAGCGTCCTGGGACGCTACCCTGCCTCAGGAGCGCTGTGTGAATACAAGACCGGGTACGGACACAGAGCACTTAAACAGATGCACCGTTACAGGAGAGCGATTGCACTCCTCTGGCCTTTCTCGCTCCACTTTCATGACTGTTCTTTTCAAATACTTACACAGAGAACGCAACCGCAAGGAACTGAAACAGTCCCATTCTTCCCAACTAACATGTGCTTGCTCCCCACCCCCTACACCCCTCTATTCCCCCTCTCCCTCTATCCCCCTCTCCGCTCTTAAATACACTCATGCTTTTTTTCCTTCAACCATAGCATCCAGCAGCAAGCTCCGCGTTCCGACCCGTGTCTGCGGCTGAAATATTTCCCAATTCGCTTTCAAAACCAGTTAAGATTCTGGTCTAACTAGCAGTTTAATAGGGCGTTCCACATCCTAATGATCCGTGTGTGTGTGTGTGTGTGTGTGTGTGTGTGTGTGTGTGTGTGTGTGTGTAAGCGTGAGCAACAAATAATTAAACTTTGTTCCTTCACTGTGATGTTCTGGGTTTCCATTTACACCATGACCTTCTGCTTAGTCGTAATAAATTGGGGAACCAGACAAGGACTGAAGATGGAAGGAAACTGCACCCCAACATCCCACCCCACACCCTCCCACATAGGCTGAAAATTCCACTCGACCATCCTGCGTCGTAGAATTTAACACTCCTAATTCAGAAGCCAGTTTCATTTTGCCGACCTACACAGGCACGACACTTCACGGTGGAACCCTGCGAAACTCGGCGCCATCTTTTAATAATAATAATCCTCGCACTATGTCAGTCGAGACGTCTCAAAGCGCTTCACAGAATGTACTGTAAAGAGGGGAGCGACTGTGTATTTTGTGGGTGAACGTCGAAGGCAATTTCCTTAAGGCTTTGTGAGAATTTCAGGCTTCACAATGCCAAGGTGAGGCTTCGAGAGAGAGAGAGAGAGAGAGCGCGAGAGAGAGAAAGGAGCTTACAGTTTGTTGATACGGATGTGCGGAACCTGCCCCGGGCTGGTCCCTGGGTTGCTAGTTCAGACTTGCTTACATTCCGCAGTTAATTGCCGACTCTTTTGATTAGCTCGGGCACCACTTTGCCCCCACGCCGCAGCCTCGAAATGCTACCAAGCCACAGCATCTGGTTTGTACCTGTCGGGACAGGTACCTCAGGCGTCTACTTCACTGCTGCCACACTGCTCCGCGGCATCCCGAGGAAACCGCGGAAGACGGGGATGAAGAGCGCACGTCCTTTGTTCTTTTCAGAAGTCTCCAATAGAATAACATCCAGATTCAGATCAGATTCCTGGCGGTTTGTGAGGCGCTGCTGTGCACAGATTGACTGTTGCGTTTACCCACAAATACAGTGGCGACTGCAATTCACAGTGAAACCCGGTGAAGCTCCCGAGACGTTTCAAAGTGAGATCCCACAGCCCCCCATACAGATAGGTGACAGACACCCACCCAACCAACCAATATACCGGAGGATCCTTTGCTAGGCCACTCTCTTAAGTGGATCCTTAACATCCACATGAAGACAGACAGGACCTCAGTTTAACATCTCGTCTGCCTGACGAGACACTGACAACGTGCTCCCTCCGTGGCCCACAAAGTGCACAGTCAATCTACTTACTTCACTGTATATTCTGAGAAGCGATAAGGCGCTACATCAAATGCAAGGGTTATATTATAATTATTACTGCGTCGAAGCATCAATCAAAGATCAACTATAAGCCTGATGTGGGACTTGAAGTGAGAGTACTGCCAAATAATGCAGGCTGACGAGTATTTCAGTTAGCTTGTAGGTCTGTATAAGTTGCATTTCACACAATCTTGTGAACGCTTTACTGACGCAAAGCAACAGCAATGGACTATACACAGATGTGCACAGATGCATAGCCATAAACAGACAAATACAAATACATAGATTGGCAACCCCCCCCCCCCACCACCTTCTGATTTTTTTTTATTTGAGAAAAGCTCATTTTGAACTCACAAAGCACGAGAGTCACCGAGCAGCGCACCCTGATCAGAGCAGAGCAGCCCCAGAACCTCTCCCCCCCCCCCCGCCCGCCCTCCCACCATCGCCGTGGCTGGCCGGCCTGGTGTGGCAGACAGCGTACAAATAGCCCAGCTCAGAGAAGACAAAGAATTTGCCCATCGGGTCGGATGCTAGTGGACTGGGAGGGAGTTGGTGACAGAACCGGGCGCAGAGGTAACAGGAAGGACCTGTTGGGAGCTCACACCATGTGCTGGTGTCACCCCTCGCTCAGCGTCTCTGCGCACACACAAGAGATCCACACGAGATCCTCGCTCTCTCTCGCGCTCTCTCTTACCTTTTCTTGTAACCCAGTGCTTTGCCTACAGCCTGCAGAACCATCCTGCACTGCTCGAGAGCACCGCTCTTATCCCACTCAGGGGCCAGGATGTTGTGGAGCATATACACAACACACACACAACACACACACACAACACACACACACAACAGGCTGCACAAAAGGCTCGGAGAGAGGGATGGAGACAGAGAGAGAGAGAGAGAGAGAGTACGTCCCTCCTGCTCCACGCAGGAGCTGAGGATCTTCCTCAAACTAGTTTGACTGCATTTAATGTGCACTCATAGGAGGACTCACCAGCCCGTTCCAAGAGCAGCCAATGCGGGGGCAGACTGCCGCGGCTGCCACGACCACACGGGAGACCTTAGGGAACATCTGCAAAGTAGCTGAACCCATCACAAAGGATTCATTCCACCCACTGTTCCTGATCTCCTTAGGGACTGTGTGTAAAGAGACTAAACCAATAAAAAGCCACCGACAATACGCCATCAACAACGGTGGGACTTGCTCTCCTTGGCACTTTACACCCAAGTTAACCGAGATATCCTTGTTGCAATAGGATTCATTTTGGTTGTAAACTTAGGCAATCTGATAACTGTGATACGTCAGCCTGACTCGATGAGATGAGATGTTAACCCCGCAAGCCAAAGCCTTACTGGGATGGGTGGTCCTAGCTGGACAAACAGCGGGAAAGCTTGCCTGATAGGGCTCCCAATGGCAAGCTTTGGGGTTTTGGCCGGTAAGTCTCCAGAAATACTCCCAACGCACCATCAGGCCTTCAGCTACCCGATACCTTTGGAACTCCACCCCACAACCCCTTCACCTTGCTCCCTCTCTTGCCTCCTTCAAGGGCACGTCTCAAGACGCTCATATCCCACCATGCCTTCGATCACCCTCCTGCCCCCCCCCCCCCCCCTCGATCCCAATCCCCAGCTCGGGTCCAAATCCCTGACTGTCCAGCGCCCTGGGACGTCTCCCCCCAAAGTGAAAGGGGGCTGTGTAAATGTAATTTATTGTCGCCTTGGCTGACAATCCCATCCCAAAACTAAACCACTCATTCACTTCATGGCTATTTGTGTGTCGTCACTGCGTTCAAAGTTGACGACGTACAAAATACAGTCGCGTCACTTTACAGCAAATCCTGCGCAGTGCTTTGGGAACGTCCTCCCGGCGCGAAAGGCGCTGTATCAAACGCAAGGAATTGTTTTATAGCTGGTGTATCAAATGGAATAAACACAAACAAGTAGAGTCTCTGACCACCCAAGTATACCTCTCTTCACTGGGTATTTGGTGGTTGTCAGTCCAGACAAAAACATGCCTGATCACAAGACTTTCATCCTCGATCGTAGATTGCAACCATCAAAACCTCACACAGACTCTGGGCAAGTCAAGGCCTCACCCAAACACGTCACGGATGGCCAGGCTGAGGATTGACACCGGGGGCCAGCAGTTTGAGAGCGCCCGCAAACACTTCTTTCAGGGACTTGGCTCGCAAAAGCACAGAGTTTAATTGAAAAGCCGAGCCTTTAAAAACTGGAAAAATTCAGCCCGAGGCAGGGGCTGAATCTGAAACAATGTGGGACTGAGGGTTTCCATAAGTGAAGCATTTGTTTTCATTTTCTTAATAAACACCTTTATTTGTTATAGCACCTTATCACGTCGTCGAGTCGTCTCAAAACGCTTCACAGGAAATATTGTAAAGTGGATTGACTGCATTTTGTAGGCGAACCAGGGCAGGCAATTAATTGCGCACAAGTGACCCAAAAACAATTGTGGATTCAGTGAAAATGTTTTTTTGAGGGATTATTACCCCCGGAAAGCAATCCACCCATCAATTAACAAGCGGATTCCTACTTACTGCTCGGTAAACAGAGGCGTGTGAAGTAAGGAAATTTGCCTATGGTTTTGCCCTGCCAAGGATTTGAATCCAGGTCCTCTCGCTTGTGAAGTGAGCTCACTAACCACGATGTTACAGGACTCCAAATTTCTTGCTATTTTAGCAAATAATCCCTGTATGTGATACAATGCCCATTACCTAGACTCAAATTTGCTGTGGAATGTAATAGTTGTGTATTTGAAGCCTTTGAGCCTTGTGAGGTCATGGAGCGTCAATTTGTCTGGAGGACACCTGATGGCCAGGACATCGGGAGCAACCAGTTTCTCTTTTCCAATAGTTTCTGGAGATCTTTAATGCCCAACTGAGCAGGCGGATGGGATTTACGTTTAACGTCTCACCTGAAGGACGGCAACACAACACACATACACAACTGTACTACCCGGGAGTGTCAGCCCGGACTGTGAGCTGGAAAGTCCCGCAAGGGCGCAGAGACGTGATTGCTTCCGAGTCGCTGGCAGACAGAGGGATTTTCCCTCGCCGATATGGAGGAGGGAGGCGCAACTGGTATTAGAAAATGCCTGTGGAGGAAGGAACAAAGGAGGGAGGAGAAGGGTAGATTTGCCCTCCCCGCGAGATTGAGAGGTTGAAAGTTATGCTGGAAACTGAAAAAAGAAAATGATCTCATTTGATCAAGCCACACAGAAACAAGTCTCGGCAGGTCTTGCTCCCAACCAAATTCCCAGCATTAACCCCGTGACTGCTCCGTTGGGGGAAGAGAGAGAAAAAAAAACAGAGAAGACAAATCCCACGGCTAAAAAAAAATTAAAAAGTTTATTCAGAGAGAAGAATAAGTTTTGCGTCCTTGTGCATTTTAGCCCAAACGATCCCAATGATGCATTGGACATCGGTCTAAGAGATTTTCTACAAAAGGGGAAGGCGATGGCAGGGGAATTGAAGGGTTAAAACAAATATAAAGCAAATCTAGTTGGTTACCGGTGGCTGCACCCAGAAGGGCTGGTTCTCTCTGTCTTTCCATTTAGATGGTTCCCCAGCATTTAAGCTAAATGTCCATCGCTTCTATTAATAATAATAATAATCCTCGCATTTGATATAGCGCTTTTCACGTCGGGAGGACGTCCCAAAGCGCTTCACAGAACACACTGTAAAGTGAATTGACTGTATATTTGTGGGCGAATTGAAGCAAATGATTCTGAAAACAAAGGAGAGAATGCCTGGGGACATTGTAAGCCTGGCTTCTGTCGTAGGCCACACGATGACTGAGAGATGGCTCGGTGCTGAGCGGTATCAAGGGTCTCATCATTGCCCATGCTCAAGGTAACCACCAGGAGACGCACATTACACTCAGCGTCTGGCAGACATTGTAAGCTGCCTCTCAAGTGTTAAAGCACTTCACAAAGAGGAAAATCAATCAATGAGTGGGGGAGGTGGGCGGAGGAGCGTTCGAGGAGATGTTGACCAAAGACAGACGCTTTTGAACCACTGGGTGTGAGAGTTCTGTAAGAGTTCTTGGGAAGCAGGAGTCTTGGCTGAAAGCTTGGCCACTGGAGTGGGGCAGAGGGAGTGAGAATGACCGGTACAACAAATCACACTTGTATAGTGCTGTTCATGTCGGAAAAAGCCCCAAATTGGGGATGGCAGAGGTAGGGCGGGGCAAGGAGGACGTTGAAATCCGCTGTTGGGCAATGAAGCCTGATCTAGGTTCCAATCACCAAAGGAAAGAAATTAGGGAGTGTCCATTCATGATTCCTCCTAACAGATCAGCGTCTGACCCCCGATCTAATGCTCATTCTGGATGGCCTCTCCTTTGATGAAGTATTATTTCCAAGCAGGGAGACAGAAGGGCAACCTCAAATGGTGTCTGAATCGATCCAGGTTAAAGCAATCTAAAGCAACCAAGGTCTTTTGTTTGCCAAATCCTACTGATGATGGTTTTGAACAAATTAATGACGATAGTGGGACATCCCCAAGATACCTGTGTGCAAATCACACAAACCCTGATCCAAACAGAGCTTTTCTTGGTAAATTAGTGTCTGAACTTGTAGATTCAGTCTATCGATTGTAAGTTAGCTGTAGGCACTTGCAATTGCACACATTTGCACTGACAAATAATAATGATCCTTTCATTTGCATAGTACAGCACCTTATCACATCGTTCATAGGTCTCAAAACGCTTCACAGAATATACTGTAAAGTGAAATGACTGGATGTTTTGTGGGTGAAACCCAGCAGCCATTGGCACACAGCAGTGTCCCACAAACAGTCGTGGATTGAGTGATCAATTTATTATTATTATTTTCGAAGGAATTATTATTAAATGAACCGCCAATCAACTAACATTTCACCCTGCCAGGAATTGAACCTAGGTCTCTCGCATGCGAGCTGAGTGATCTAACCACTGAGCTACAGGACTCCATATGGCCCATACCCATTTTCCAGCCTCCCTCCAGGATAGCACCTGTTCTCCTCCACATTAAATGCTTCGTACTGCGATTATATCAGATTTAAGAAGATCCACCCATCAGATTTCCATACTATTGACCAGAGGAACCGGCTCATCAGTTTTAAGCATCCGCTTGGTCAGTAATGCCCTTGCCTCCAAATCAGAGGGTTCGAGCCCCACACCAGGACTGTGAACTGTCCCAAGCCAAACTAAGGAACTGGATTACCAAGACAACCACAGAGAATCACCTTGATTCCAAGCCAATGCAGGCCAATGTAGAGTGAGGAAACTTGCCTCTAATCACGATGATACAGAACTCCAATTGGGATCATACATTTGAATATGACTTATGCAAAGTATGAGTTATATGAAACTTGCATAAGTTGCATCATATACGTACATTCATACACGTGAATACATAAATACTGAACTGACTGGTGACATTAAGGCAAGGTTTCTGAACCCATGTATATTAAAGCTATGGTACCCATTCTTTCCATTTACGGTGCATGGGCAGAAAACATGTACTGTACAATGAATGGCACAACCAAACAGGTTTCAATGGTATGATGCATTTCCTTGTTGTTCTTGAGGCAATCATTCAACGCCTATAGCTTCAAATAAAAATTGGAGACAATGCTCTTTTTCATTTCAGGATTTGCCTTGAATCTGGCACTTTTCCTGATAGCTCCTGGTCACCAATGTGCATTTAGTTGGGCAATCTGCATTGCAATCTCTTTTGGAGTAATGTTACGGGATCTTTAACATCCACTTGAACAGATGGGACCTTGGTTAAACATCGCATCAAAATGACGGCATCGCTGAGAATGCAACACGCTGCACAGAAGTGTCGGCCTA